CTCTGCAAACAGCCACCTGGTGTGCGTGGTGGTGGGGGTCACCCCAGGGTGGCCTGGTTCATCTGATTCCTGTCTTCGTAGGCTAAAGAAATTGGAGAACAGATACTGAGTCTCAGGGAAAATGTAAGCATGGAGGGGGCTGGGGAATGCGGCTGACAGCCAAGGCACACTGTGGGTGTGGGAAACACTGCAGTACAGGAAGACTAAGTATGTTAGAGCACTGAGGATGCAGGAGGATTGAGGATGAAGGAGGACTGAGGATGCAGGAGCACTGAGGATGCAGGAGGACTGAGGATACAAGAACACTGAGGATGCAGGAGGACTGAGGATGCTAGGGTACTGAGGATACAGGAACACTGAGGATGCAGGAGGACTGAGGATGCTAGGGTACTGAGGATACAGGAACACTGAGGACGCAGGAGCACTGAGAACGCTAGGGTACTGAGGATATGAGATACTAAGGGTGCCGGGGAACTAAGGATTCTGTCCACCGTCACCAGCTAGCAGAGGAATATGGCTCTGCTGGTCCTTTGACTTTCTATTTCTGGTCCCCAGAACAACTGGACAGAGTTAGCTGATGTATAGGTAGTTGCTCTGAGCTGACAGCTTGTGACACTACTGTGGTGGCAGCCTTACTTTCTCTCTTTGAACGCTCTTGACCTCTTGCAGAGTAAAGCCCAGAGAGGTCTGGAGGCTTCTTTCCTGTGACAAAAGAATATCACATGGAACACGCCCAATGGCTCTTTGTGCAGAGAGATGCTCTGAGCTCTTGGTCTTGCACAGTGCAAGGCTAAAGACTTCTAAAATAGGAGCTTTGACAAGACTGGTATTTAAGAGCAGGACATCATCGGGCTTCCAGTGCAGGCTCAAGGTCTCTTCATTGTCACCGTTGTAAAGGGGTGTAGGAGGAGCTGCTGAGGCTCTGTGTAGCTTTATACAATTTTACTGGGCCTGGGCCCAGAAGCTCGTGGCCTGTATGAGGATGTGGGAGACCCTGTAGTGTGGAGAAGCCAGCAAGGCAATCACTGTTTGGTACAGTTTACTAGTCAGTGACTCGGATAATGATTAACAGATTGGAGGATAATAATTCTGCCTTCTGATCGAAATAATCTGATAGATACAGGTATTTTATAAAGAACCTGCCAAGGATTCAAGGAGTGGTGATGTATGGTTGAAACCTGAACCCTGGTGAGGCAGAGGCACCAGGAGCTGAGGGTCATCATGGCCATTGTGGTGGTCTGAGCGAGGTGGTCCCCCATAGGCTCCTGCATGTCAATACTCAGTCCCCAGTTGCTGCTGCTGACTGGGGAGGCTTAGGTGTGTGGCCTTGCTGGACAAAGTGTGTTACTGGGAGTGGGCTTTGAGAGCCTAAGGCCTTGCTCTGCTCACAGCTTTTCTGTTTGGGGCCTGTGGTTCAAGACGTGAGCCCTAAGCTTCTGCGCCTGCCACTTTCTGCCATGCCTCCCTGACATGATGGACTTTCATCCCTCTGGAACTGTAAACCCCAATAAACCCGTTCTTCCACGAGCTGCTTTGGTCATGGTGTTTTATCACAGCAACTTACACAGTTATAGAGTGTGTCTGAGGCCAGCCTGGGGCAAAAGAGACCGAGTCAAAGAAAAAATTCCTCAAAGAAATTGAAGATTTAAAAACCAACCGTGACAGCACAAACCAAGATGTGACACAGTTGGGGACACTGCCTGCGCTCCAGTTACAAGGCATTGCAAGCTTGAAGGGCATTGGCTGAGAATGCCTGGCAGAAAGTGTAAAATTAACAAATGATTAATAATACTAATTAGCAATAATACCTCAAGGAAAGGGGGACATTTCTGCAGGAGTGTAAAAGTAGTACTTTAAAAAAAAATCATGCAATGAAAAGAGGTCTTTGGAAATGTTTCTGTATGGCAGTCAGAATAGTGTCCTCAGACCAGCAAGAAGAGTTCTCACAGCTATATGCCTAAAGCAACACCAGGGCTGGGGAGATGGCTCAGTGAGGAATGAGCTTGCCAACAAAGCAGGTGGATCTGAGTTCAGAACCCAGAATCCAGGCAAAGTCAGACATGGCAATGTGCGTCTGTGAGCCCAGCACTCCTGAGGCAAGACGGGAGGCAGAGACAGGATACTCAGAAGACCCTGGCAGACACAGCAGAAAACAACAGAGACCCTGTCAAGGACTGGTGTATGGCAACCTGTTCTCTCTGTGTGTGTGTGTGTGTGTGTGTGTGTGTGTGTGTGTGTGTGTGTGAAAGGGGAGAGAGAAAAAAAGAGAGAAAAAACCCAGCATCTTGTAAAAAGGTTTCTCTTCTCTTCTCTTCTCTTCTCTTCTCTTCTCTTCTCTTCTCTTCTCTTCTCTTCTCTTCTCTTCTCTTTCCTTCCTTCCTTCCTTCCTTCCTTCCTTTCTTTCTTTCTTTCTTTCTTTCTTTCTTTCTTTCTTTCTTTCTTTCTTTCTTTCTTTCTTTTGAGACAGGGTTTCTCTGTGTAGCTTTGGAACCTGTCGACCAGGCTGACCTTGAACTCACATAGATCTGCCTGCCTCTGCCTCCTGAGTGCTGGGATTAAAGGCGCATGACACCACCGGCCCGTGAGTTTTTCTTTTCATCCCTACTATAAAATAATCCAAATGAGTTCTGTGAGCTTTGCAAAACTGCAATTGTCTATATAAAAAGTAAACTTATTATCTCACCAGGATGGCTGACAATGAGGAAGATGGAAATTTTGGGCCATGTAGGGTTCTGTGAGTTTTACTACTAACTGATTTGACTTCTGCTTGATCAGTTTAGAAAAGAGACAAGAGTGCTCTCTCTCTCTCTCTCTCTCTCTCTCTCTCTCTCTCTCTCTCTCTCTCACACACACACACACACACACAGCATATTCTGCAACTTTTTGTTTTTATTTAGCCCTTCTGTGACCGACTCCTGAGGTGACAAGGAGGTCAGGGTTGTCGTTCTGTAGGTGAAAAGAGAGACAGGACTTGGCCTGAAAGCACAGCCTGGTCTGCATGAAGAGGGTGCAGATGTGAAGGCTGTAAGGCCAACAGCACAACACATGTCATAAGGAGCCTGCCTGGGACAGACAGGTTGGTCTCACTGGACTGAGCAGCCTCTGCAGGAATAGCTCCCAGGATGTCCCCACAGGGAGGCTGGCTGCTTATCTGAGGAGAACTAACTCCATACACATCCACACTGCACTATACATGGGATGGATGGGCTCCTGGCCATGGAGAACAAGTGGTGTGCTGAAGACTAGGAATTGTCTGCCCACATCTGTGCTCACAGCTGGGTGTCAATTGCAGTGGGCCATTAGAAAAATGAGCCAGGGACAGAAGAGACCAGGAGAATCCCTGGAGCTAGGTGCTCCCAAAGTCTCCTTTTGAGCATCAGAAATGGTCTCTGGGAGCTGACGTAGTTGACAGGAGCTGCTGGAAGGAATAGCTCGCCTGGGGCTTACACAGTCTCACAGAAGGAACCATTGAGTTAGTTCTCTGGGCTGATGTATGGCCACCTGTTCCATGAGTGCATGTATGTGTGTGCCTGTGATAGACAGACATACATACAGAGATAGAGACAGAGGGAGACAGAGATAGAGATGGAGAGAGAGAGAGACAGACAGACAGACACACACACACATACACACACACACTGAGAGAATGAATGAATACTCTTGTCTTTCTTCTAAAGACACTAATAGTATCCTTGGGGCCCCACCTTCATGACCCCATTTAACCTAATCACCTCCCAAGAGCCTTCTGAATGTCACCATGCTGGTGCTTAGGGCCTCAATATATAAATTTATGGGCATGCAAGCCTTCCGTCTCTAACAAGAACTTGGAGCCAGACCTTGGATTACTGTCTTACCCTTTGTTCTCCTCTCTTCTCCTCCTCACTTTCTCAATGCTATTTTGCATCCTGAGTCCTGGGCCAGGAGCCACTCTTGGCTTTTGCTCATGCAGCCCCTGCTGTCGGTTTCATCACTGTGAGTTCTGTGATCTAAATTTAGCATGAACTGTTCTGTACCCAGAAATGTGAAGCAGGATGTCTGGGATTGTGACTTTTCCACCGAGAGCCCATGAGGAAGATTGTTTCCTTCTGCCTCTGTCTCTGGATAAGGGAGGCCTGGGGTACAGGAAACTCTGTACAGGGAGGTGTCAAGGTGCACGCTGTAGCTAAGTGTCAGCCACCATGGGGGCTCTGTCCTCACCTAGCCCTGTCACTGGAAGCTGTTGGAACATTCTTGGCAGAGGCTAGGTATAGGTAGGGCACTTGCTGTCTTTGGTAAGAGCAGAACAAGGTCATGAGCAGGAACTCTGCTGTGAGGCCCAGCATAGGAACTTCCTGATTCACGTGACTAAGAATGGACTGGCTTTGGGGACCATGGGTGCTCTACCCCCACAAGCGCACAAGGGCATGGTGATTCTAAAAGGAAGACAGATGGGCAAGGGGATCTCTGACTGTGTCCTAGCTCTGTGGATGATGGGAGCAGGTGCGGTGACCATTTCTGAGGAGAGGAGAGGAGAGGAGAGGAGAGGAGAGGAGAGGAGAGGAGAGGAGAGGAGAGGACAGAACAAGACACCTTCCATTTTAACTCATTGATTCCAGGGAAGAAGTGGTCTCAGCCACCTGTGTCTGACAGCTCATCTCAGAAAGACATAGCCTGTGGAGAATGGCTCTCCATGACTCCACCCTCATCACCGAAGAGTAGCCCATCCTTGGCCTCTCCCAGGACACTTCCCACACCCTTTCTTCAGTTTGAAAGTGCCCAGTTGCTTTCTGGAATCAGATCTCTTAGCCTCTCTTCAGTCACTGTCTTCACATTCCAGAGCCTCTGCTATCTGACAAGTGTCTGCAGGTGGGGAGGCAAAGACAGTGGCTGTCCCACAGCACCCACCATGGTGCTTGCAAAGAATCTGCTGCTTTCCCTGTCCAGCTTCCTGGTCCTTAGCATAGCATCCTGCTGAGATCCAGGCATAGTCAAGCACTGTGTGATGGAAGCAAAGGACCCACCTCTCATGGCTCCTGCCTCGTCGTCCTTTTCAAGGAGGAGGTAGCGTGGGCTCTCAGGGAGAAATGGCAGGCTTGCCAGCTGGACCAAGGCAGGAACAACGATCACTCCAAACAGGTATGGCCAGGTGCTCTCCTGCAGGGAGAAGACTCTGCTGATGGAGGAGAACTTTAGTTGATTTTTTGGGGATATTAGACTAAGCAGCTTGGACTCCACGGGAGGCCTCTCTGCTCAGCTGTCCACACTGCTAGCGGGACGAACAGAGCAGATGAGACAATGGCCCTGAGCACACAGCGTCTTCCACACCGAGCTGATGTGGAGCCCTCGGCATCTCCATGAGATGATGACCTAGCACATCTCTGAACAGAAAGTAGATCCTGGCAGCCAAGCCATCCAGGGAGTACCAGAGATGGCTGCTTCCCGCACTTGGACCACCACAGCCAGCCTGGGGTCTCCTTGAATCCCCTCCACTCCTCCAGCATGGCTCCTCCCAGGTTGCCATGGGCATGGAGACAGACTTGCTTGAGTGTGAACACTGGGCCCAGACCCCTGTGCAGTGCCCACCATCTTCCGATTTTCAATGAAGATGGGGGGAGTAAGGATGGCATGGTCTCAGGAGCCCTTATGCGTGGAGGATCTTCACCTTCCAGACGGTAGGGAAAGACAAATGGCCATTTCCAACAGGTGCCATCAATTTACTGGGTGCAGTGGCCCCCATCCAGTGCAACTTAAGTGCAGCATGGAGCATACATTCTTGTGCCCATCAAGGTGTCATTCTTCACTGTCTGTCACCCAGTTTTACAAATATGCTCCCACCGTGCGCCCTGCATGGGAGCAAGCCACATAGGCAGCATTGATGGGGAGGGTGAAGGCTTTGGCTCCAAGGTGAGCCCTTAGCGTGTTTTATTTCCTAAGACAGGAAAAGGAAATAATCCAGGAAAGGATGAAACACGCTGGAACTAGACAAGACTTCACATGATGGGCAGAGGTCTGCTGGCTTATTCAGAGCCCCTGGGCGTATGTGACTGCTTGTCCTCAGCCACTTGCTACCTGTGATGGCTCTCAGGAGAGACAATGTCCCTGTCAGCTTTTCTGAGGCCCTCTGTGGAACTCTGATGGAGGAGAGCCCACAAGAGTTCCAGACATTACCAAGGTGCCACGGCAGGGACCCCTGAAGCACAGAGCCAGCTGGAAGGGGCCTATTGGGGAACTCGGCCAGTGCTGGCTCAGTCCTCATCTCCAAGGTGACTCCAGTCCTCCTCCCCTTGCTGAAGCTAGTGCCTACTCCTATTCAGAGGCCAGCACAATCCTTGCATGTCCCTTTGAAGGACTGGCAAGGCAAAGCTGGGCTTTTCAGCCTGGGGAGGCTTGTGACTAGAGGAGCATGCACGAGAGAAGTCAGGTGGTCTGTGGAAGGTCAGAGAGAAAAGCGTGGGTGAGGAGTGTGGAGGGACGCAGATGGGCTCCGTTCACGCATCATGGAAGATTCTGAATGTAGACGGGTACTGCTGGTACCATTTGTGACTATTCTAAAAACCACAGGGGTTTTAGTATAAACTGGCATATATTTCAATTAACAATTTTAAACTATGGTAGAAAACAATGAGCAGGGTCTGTCCGTTCTGCCTGTACATTCTGTACCCATACATGCCACCCACCGAGGATCAGAAATATTCAGAGAAAGAACATTCATAGGCAGACCTCTTTCTCTGTCATCATTCCCTAAACAATATGGTGCAACAACTATTTACATGACATTAGGTATTATAATGAGTCTCAAGATGATTTGAGGTATATGGGAGGACATGCGTGGGTTACAAGCAAATATCACACCAGGAACATTCTGATAAGGAGCAGTAACAGCTACCATAATCGAGGAAGGTCTTTCAGCCTGGTGCAGGGTGACCCACTGAGAGGTAAGAGTCCCTGCTCCTGAGCAGGCAACTCAAGACTTTGTTTATACTCCAGTCATTATGGTCGTGGACAAGCATCCTAAGATGTCCTGGGAGGAGCCTCAAGGCCACAAGCCAGAAGCTTGCAGCTCAAGCCAGATGAGCTGAATTTGCCCTTCTGTCTTTATGGAGCACTGTCCGTCTATGGTGCTCCTGGGCATTATACCCACATGAGCCAAGAACCCAGCATGTCCCTCTGCAGTGGCACCCGATGCTGCTTTCTACTGAGAAACAAATGAGCATGAGGGCGGGGATGGATTTCTCTAATACACTGACCAGTTTCAGGGTCGCTTTTTCTACTCCTGGAGGCTAGCCTCAGCTTCAGGCTGTTTTTAGAAGTGTTTTTCAAAACATTTAATTCAAGGTAACCATGTGAAGATCAATACTGCATTCTCTCTCGTGCACCCTAGATTTGAGCCGTGGATCTGGGTGGGAGGAAATCTGGGCAAAGACTGAGAAACTAGAAAGAGTCCCACAAGAAGGGAAAAATGGGTTTTATGGGAAGGCAGTGAGTGGGGAATAATACATGACTTATGAGAGGGGAAGGAAGTACAGGGGGCAGAGGGTGTGGGGGCAGCAGGGAGATGCAGGATAGGAGTGTGGAAAGGGGAATCACACAAAACAAGACATGCATGAAATGCCCTAAGTACACCTGCTTCTCTGTATGCTAATTAATCAGACAACCTTACGTGACCCCCCTGGGGAGGCCCGAAACATACCGCAAGAGTTGCCTCAGAGGAGTCTTTGTGAGGCCAGTTGAGATCTGAGATAATGGGAAGGGACTCAGGGCTCCAGCTCAGTGGCTTTGGGTCAGGGTCCTGGTACCCACTGTTCTCATGAGGGCAGGTGTGGGTTATCTTGTTGGCCAGGACGATGCCTAACTTCCTGTTGGGGAGTTTATGAATCTCCTAGCTGTGTCCCGCTCTTTCAACTGTAAGCCCTCGGCTTCAAAGCTAGACTTCTAGGCTACTTCTCCCAGGCTGTCGAAGACTTTGACCCTTGCTACAAAGCCCTTCTGGACTGGACTACAACGAAACAGCAAACATTTTAAAGCAGAGTAGGCACTGTGGATCTTACAGAGTCAATTTCTTAATTTAAGCGTGCAGGGATCCCAGAGGAATGAAGCAGGAGGGCTGAAAGTGGCCAGGCCACATAGCCACTGGCCAGAGAAGCTTTGATTGCTTATGGGGGTAACATGTAGAGACCCTGACCACCTCCAAGGCTCCTTGGAGATGCAACAGGATGCTCTTCATATTTCTCCATACGCTTGGTTTGATTAAAGAAGGCTGATGGTTATGGGAGTGGGCTGGGTTCTCTGTGTAGCTCTATGAAAAACAGCATTATTTTGTCTTCCAGTGTTCTTTCTCCCAGTGGACTGCATTTCTTTTTTTTTCTTTTCTTTTTTTTTTTTTTTGAAAAAGCCTGGGTTAAAACTGGACTGCATTTCTTGAGAAGCATCCCTAGTCTTGTATCTTGACACATCTGCCAGTGCTTGAAGCCTGGCAGATGTTCAGCAGGTGCTGGAAGACGGTTGGGTGAGGTAAGTGGTGACAAGACCATCGATGCAATCGCTAGAGATGACCCCCCCAACCCCCAGCCATTCTTGAAGTATTTCTTTTTAAATTTAAGCCTTTCCTTAAAGGGCCGAGACTTTCCAGTAACGTATTTCCCTTTGCAGCATTCCTATAGTTTCAGGTTTATAGGACAGAAATCTGAGCCCTGAAAGGTCAGGGAATGCACGTGACATCCCTTGAGAAGCTGGGGGTCTCGCTGGATGATTGGTTAACTCTTCTGACCCCAACATGGGTTCTTCCCTTGTTAAGCAGAGGGGCAGCTCTCTCAGGCCTGGCAGCTACAAGCTAGCTAGGGAATTTGAGTGGTGGTTCTCTTAGGCTAAATCAGCCCCCTGAGCAGAGTTCAGCAGCAAGCACTCAGACTCAACGCCAGTGCTCACCACAACACGACGGGGTGGAGAAGGGAAGAGACAGGAGCAAGTATCAGCCATTCTGTGAGGCTGACTTCATGTGCAAAGCTGGGCTTCCTTGATCAAAGACTCTGTTGCACACAGGGGTGACCTCAGAGTGTACAGGAACTGAGATTCAGAAGGCAAATGGCTCCGTCAGCAAATGACTACAGAGCTCCAATGACCTTACGTCTCCCTCCTTTAGCCACTTCTCAAGGAAGAGACCTGATGGCCACAGCTTCCTAGTGCCCTGGGTTAGAACATGGCTACCTGAGTGTGGAATGGCAGTCTTTCACCACCTCCAAATCTGTCCCCAAGAGTCCATTCCAGCTTCTAAAACATCACATCTGCATTCCTTACAATCCTATGTTATATTCTAAATATTTTCAATGTGGATTAATGGTCTGATTCTCTTTCTACATTGAGAGGGATTCTTGTACAAGTTATATTATCATCCCATTTCCCTCTGTTACAAATAATGGCAAGACAGACAATCTAAGGACACCACCCTCACTGTGCCCCCTGTGGGGCCCCATACTCCTATACATACAATGCTCATTCCCTTTCTGGTTCCTACCACCATTTCCTGTTTTCAGAATGATTTTCCTGTCTTGTGCCTTGTTTGGTTCTCAGGCGATCTCATAGCAAAGAGCAGCCTCCATTATTGCCTTCTTATAGATAAGGAACCTGAGGCTTCTGGGAAGTCCGACAGCAAAAGTTACCCATAAACCAACTTTATTCTGCTCCTATTTGAAAGAGAGTCAAAAATCCCACACTGGTTTTGAAGGCCACTTAACCCTTTGAACTGTCCCTGGCCAGCCTATTAGATGGGACATTGTTGAGTTTGTACAAATTTGCTGTCTTTGGCACCCCTGCTAGGGCTCCTGATTCTCAGCTGAGGAAATCAAAGTAACAAGAATTTCTTTTTACTCCATTGACAATTGCATTCCTTATAAATAGCTCTGTGTGGGGTGGGGAAGTGGTACTGAACCTGGGCAGGAGGTCATAAGCTCTGTGCCCTTAACCTCTGTTGTCCACAGGCTCAAAGATGTCATAATGTAGTAGGACCTTGCTAAGGCACTCCCAAATTCCCTGACTTTATATTTGTACAATTCTCTTCTCTTCTGCTTCCTAAAGAGTTAACTACCTGCTATTCTCAGAGCCACGCTCCTTGGAGTTGAAACCCATGATTAAAATCCTTCGTCAGCCTTCTGCTTTCC